AAGAAAGTTTCAATGCGACTCACTGGTGCTTGTTCACGAAGACCTGTATCAATCGAAACCTTTAATAGCACGCGACTAACTGAACACAAACGAACGACAAGAAATGGTGATGTCAGCAATGACAACAATCACATCGCTGAACAACATTTACAGACGAAACTGAAACTGAAATCATATCGACTGGGACTCCATGTACTTATTCTACAGACTACCACCAGCGACTCGGTTTAGAAAGCTAGTTTACTAACTTAGAATCGAACAAACGCTCCTTAATCGTAGTCAACAGTTAGTGGGACTGTACAAACGACTTATTGACGGACTCAAGCAAAAGTAACTACGAGAGAATGACTGGACAACCGACGATTAAACTAACAATTAACGACTGTTAAACTGTGATAATAAACGAATCGAAATGCACCAATGACATTTCGAATTTTCATAGCCAATAGCATCTCGGCGTAACTGACAGACGATCAATAACTCGTTCTGGTTATTGTCCTGACAAATCAGGACAATAACCAGAGTTTAATTCCACCAACTGACGTGATGCAATTCACTTTGACTCGACTCTGAAGATGACTACCACAGAGGTTGTCGAAACGTCAGTCACTGTCAACAGCAGTCCTTCTGATTTAGGACTACATTCACCCGGACGATCAAGCTCAACCCCCCCGGGGGGGGGGACTAATCAACCAAATTTTTATACGGGGAGGTTCCACCCCGAGGTTCAACCTTTAACCCTTTTATATACCATTATTTAACGAAAAAGGTACCCTTTTCGTATACCTTCTATTGACAAACTGTACCCCTTTCACATAGTTTGTTTAGAACTTTGCATCCGTTTTAACTGCTGTAAATGTACTCTCTTTTAAATTGGAATCAATCACAAAGCTAAAACGTTTTCTCGACTTTATACAAAATAAGAAATTCATTTGTTAGCCCTTTGGGTCCTTTCACAGACCTAAATGACAGATTTCCCTACCCTTTCGTATATACTTCAAAGAGTAAAACCCCTACCCTTTTAATTTCATATACCTGAAGCCTGAAAAAGGTACCACTTTCGGGCGGAGCCTCCCCGTATAGGCCATTCTTGGGAGTACCCTCCCGGGTATTCAACCTACTTATGAAGTGAATTACTTTGTTCTCTCGACAGTTAGCACACACGGACGCCATGAAACTATTTCCATTTGTTGTATTCATTGTGCTGGTATTTACGTTAACTGTACCTGAAGATTCTGAGGGAAAGAAGCCCCCTCCATGGCTTAAGGAAGCTATGAAGATTCTTGGTAAAGGGATAAAAAAAAGTCACTACGCTCGTTGTAAAATCATCGACGCACCAGCCAACTTAAATTGCCCCAAGAATGCGTATGGTGTTGGTAGCAGTGAGGGTATGGCCAGAAAGGCAGCCAAATATGTTTACTCAAATTTTCCCAAAATTTGGAAAAAAACATGCAGCAAATACCTTGATGAAGACAGTTGTGAAGTCTATTCAATCACTAATAATTTTTAAAGATTTACCATAGCCGGGCTATAAAGAGCTCAACACCTGTAGTATTTGTTCATACAGGAAAATGTAAATCAATAAAGTAATGACTACATATATATATATATATATTGTAGTTTGAGAGAGGCCTTTAACTGCTGGGATTAACTGAGGTTTCTCGGTAGCTTACAACCTACCCCCTCCTAATTCAACATTAACACTTAGTTCTCACTTAGAGCAAAATTGTGACTTAGGGGATGGGTCGGGGGTGATCACTTACCCAGCAACGTTTGTTTACGGAATCTTGAATCCGGCAAATTTTTGCTGGTGAATCCAGGGCTTTAGAATCCGGAAGCCTGCTAACGATTGGAATCCGGAATCCAAGTTCCACAGACTAGGTATCCAGAATCCAGTACCTGGAATCCGAATCCACTGCGCAACCTCGTCCCCAGGGTCTTGTCGTTTTCCAATATGGCGTCGGCTGGAGAGAAGACCTTGGCACACAGCAGAATCACGTGATCGGCGTCCCAAACTAAATATGTGAATATGTAAATATATGAGCATTTTTAAAACGTCGATGGCCTACCTAGATTTATGAAGACCGGGTAAGCAAAAATTTTGTAATTTCTCTCAACTTCCCCTGTCTTAGCTTGTTTACTGTGTTGTTGCTTTATGTCGCATCTTTTCTTGGCTCGCTTCACGGGTAGAGATTTCTGTAGAAGCAGGGGCACCCAATGGATCTGTTGTTCAAAATATCTGTTTTGCAGGCAAATTTTTGCTAGTTCTGAGATGCAGTAGTAATAATATGTCCTTGAAAGAAAAGTGTTGCTGGGAAAAAGACAATTCAGAGTGTCTGAGGGGGATTTGAAGTCTGGAATAGCTCCCACGTGTTATTTGTCAGACATCTCTTCCCCGTCCCCCCCGGAGGTGGTAAATTGCGCCCTTCGGCCACACCCATTTTCCTACCGAACCCCACTCCCACCGAAGGTCTAAATTTTGCCCTATGACCACACCCAAACTGGCCAGTAATGTCTGGACATACGTCCTAGTAAGTTAGGTTGGAGGTTGTAGGTGCACCTTGATGGCTGTGAACTCTCAGTCCTGCTGGGAGTGAGGAACAGATAAATTTTTCCCAGCAATCTCCCAAAATAATTAAAATGGCTTCAGAAAGCTTAATTCATGGCTTGTTGTTGTTTTTAGGTCTTTTTCCGTTGCATGCCCCTGTAGAAGTAGCTGTAGCGAATTTCAAACTAGCCCTCCCTTCCTTTCTCCCTCTTTGGTCTTTTCCCGTCCCAACCCACAATTCTCTCTCTTACGAAAGTGACCATTCAGGTCGCGTACGAGACCAGCCTGGGTTGCCTGTGCCCGAAGCCAGCCTCATTTGAGATTTCTGGATGTAAATGTGTATGTAAAATGTATGTATGTATGTATATCGCCGCATTTGCCTCGATTTTAAGTACGGCCCTCGAAATAGAGGCTCTTTCGTTCGCAGTCAATCGATTCAGAGAGAAAACAAAAGAACGTTCAGAGCGCAAATAAACAGGGGCACCCAACGTCAATTTTCGGAAAATATCTGTTCAGAAGACGATTTGAGATCTAGAATTTTCGGAACATTTGTTGTAAAATTTCTTGCTTGCCTACCTCTCCTAGGATTTTCGAAGATCTAAAAAATGGTATCATTGCCTATTTTTATCGGATTTTTACCCTAAAAAGGTCACCTAGAATTTTTGGGAGCCGTTTTTCTGTCTGAAATTTTCGAAAAGGCAAGTTTTGATCCCCATAATTTTCGGATCAGTAGAATTTCAGCTAGGAAATCCGAACAGATGAAAAATTTTCAGGGGATAAACATATGCTTATATCTACCGTTTAAATACTAAAATACGTTTAACAATGCTATGTTTAAGTGGTTTTGAAATATATTCTTGTTAGGTGCCCCTGAAATAAAGTGTGATGTGGAAAACTTAAAGCCCGGGAGAAATCCTGTTTGGTATAGAAAGCCACGTTTTTGCAAGCGAGGAGTATGGATGCAAGTGAAGGTAAAAAATTCCCGTGAATTGAAGCGATAGTACGTTTGTCAGAGTATTTCAAGCAATTCCTGGAACTCTACGGTAAGTAAAGTCGGTGTTTTGGCTAAATTTGTATTCAGCTAGGCTTTGTTGTATTTGTTTAATTGATAAATTGCTTTAGTTATTAAGGGTTATTCTAGAAAGTGCGACTAGGTTTGTTTTCCCTCGGTAGTAAAACGTTTTATACACGACAGAAGCAAGGATTGAAAATTATTTGATACGCTCGCGATGCTTTATGAGCCAGTTAAAAAATTGAGCTCGATTGGAAATTCACTCTTTCACTCACTACAAATCCATTCACCTTGACTTGCACTTTGTTCTCACTGTGGGCTTTTTTAAGAGAGGTGAATATAAGGAAAGAAAAAGTTCCGTCGGTACATGCCCAACAAGTTTCAAGGTAAGTCCTTCACGTTAACATTCACCTTCATGGGTATTTGTTACTGTTACAGTTTCAAATATTGTTCGTTTTGATATAATTATTAAAGTTTTTTGAACATTTGGTTGTTTCTCAAAAAAGAATTAAGCACCCTGTCCCGAATAAGTACCCTCCCTTGAGGCACCAAAAGTAAATAAGCGTCATGGGCCCAGTTGTTCGAAGGCCGATTAGCGCTAACCCAGGGTTAAATTTTAACTCGGGTCCCCTTTTCTCATCATCTGAAGCATTTTCTCGGACAATTTTCTCTAATGTTTTTAGAGTAGCCAATCATCAAATTGTAGACAAAAAGAATTAAACCAAATTTGCTTTTTAAGCTTTCTGAATTCAAATTTCGCACTAACCCTGGGTTATCTTAACCCAGCTTTGAACGACCCGGCCCTGGGCCAGGTTGCATAAGGCCCTCCTAAGATAAGAGGGCTCTTAACTTTTGTTCTGAAAAAATAACCCATTGTTTTGAAATAATAGTTACGAGTTCCCTTAAGATGTTTTATGCAACCCGACCCAGGGCGCTAAATCGAATCATTACGGTAAGTCTATTTTTTACGAGCGACGCGCTAAAACATGGTTCGAGTTATTGGGTGTAAAATTATATAGAAAGGATCTGAAGAGAAACAAAAATTAGTATTACTTCGAGTTAGCATGAGGTTCGAGTCAGTAGCGAGCGTTCGAGCTATGGGAGTCGACTGTATACATGTATATCAGCCTAGTCCCAAGGCATTCTCGGCGCTGTCAATCCTGGACTCTACCGTGAGCTGTGACGTCACCGAGAGATACTCGCCGATTACCAGATCAAATATGGCGGCCTTTTTGTCAAGTAACTACAACTTCAGCAGGTAGCTGGAAATCTGTCATTTGAACAGGAAGCGTTTCTACGTGCATGCCACAGCGAAAAACAAAGTTTCGGTTTTTTGAAAAAGGATCCGCGCAACCAAGTTTTGTTTAACTGAAGTCGACTTTCACTCGCAGCAACATGTACCAGACGACGAACTTCTTTCTTGAATTTGTGCCAATGAATCTCTTCACGATGGAGGAGCTGAGGTTACGGACTGTCGTTGAAAGGGGAAACAAGGCAACAAGTATAAAAGACTCCATTGAGAAAACGCATATACATTTTTGTAAGATGTGTTTAGGTTTAAAAAACGTTCAACGAATGTTGCATCGAAAAATGAACTTGGCAGATTATCTCTCAATTTACAAATAACAATGGACATTTTCAAGTTTTGGATTCACCTTGAAAATCAACTCCCTGACAGCATCACTAAACTCTGCTTAAGCATATCGGATAAAATGGCCGAAGAAAATAAATCAGGCCTAATAAATAAAATAAATCTTTTGTGTACACAACTTAATATTAATAAACAATCAGTTAACTTTAAAAACCCTTCTGTTTTCCTATCTAAAGCTGAAAATAATTCATCAAAACCACTAGCGAAATTTGACAAGAACAAATAAAAAACTAAAATTCTATATTTAAAAATGAAACAAATTACTCTTCCTGAACATAGGCATATTCTCGGCTTGCACTGTCACTCAATGAAAAATAAAAATGCAAACCATTCAATACAGAAGGACTAGAATCTGGGAAATAAAAAAAGATTAATATACAAAAACCCTTGCCAAGAATCAGGTTTGTGAAATACTTCAAATGCGAGATATTGGGAAAAACGGTTTACCTAAATTTATAAAGCTTTGTATGGAAACGCCATGTTGGTGTCCCTTTCAGGAACACCAATACGGCCGCCGGATACCAACAGAAACATCTGTTTTCAAGTTTTCCTACTAATGCGTTAATTCTTCGCTTGAGGAACTCATAAAGATTACAGTAATATTTATTCTGAGACAAGGAATGTTTAGATTGCAAAATCTTCCGAAATCGGTAATGTTTTTAACCCACACAAGAGCTTTCCCGGCCGCCAGCTAAATGCCGCGTCACGCAAAAGCCTGGAAATTCAAGTGTCCTCTCTCGCAAAACGAAGAACCCTTTCAAACCAAAAATTTATTTATGTAAAGGTGTTTAGGTACTGTAATACCTCGTGAAAGTAGAAACTAAGAAGAATCGATAGTTTCTTAGTTTGATTTTTGGTGACGTCACGTGCAACCCAAGAATAGCTTCCAAATTTAGGATATAGGAAATCATAATTTAAAAATAGAAACTGGAAGATTTACAATTCCCAAAACTCCTGAAGAACTTAGAATTTGTGATCACTGTAATCTAAATTCGGTTGAAAATGAAATGCACATATTATTTCACTGTGATGTTTATAATGATTTGAGAAAGACTCTTTTTATTAAAATCAACGACCGAAATACATTTTTACAAATTACTCGGCTGATATTGTCAACATATGCTTCATTATGACATTTCTGGGCATTTGGAAGCACTCGCTAATGTAAATAAATAAACACAAAAAGTGGGTGTTGCTGCGGGTTTTGATTCACTTCGTAATATATATATATATATTGTTTTTTACTAAAGTGATGGTTTCCAGCAGAAAAACGGCACATCTTTCTTACATTTCTCACGAAATACAGATATTGAGGGCTCAGATGGGTGTCTTAATTTCAATACCGCACTTTAATTTTGGACAGCTAAATTTGTATATAGTAAATTAAGGTTAAGTTTATGTTAGATAAAAAAATACTCGATTTTCAGTGTTTTAGCATTGAAGATGTAAAAGATACTGTGTAAACCCTACTGGTATGGTTATTGAACTGTTGTGTGCCTATAGAACTGTTGCTGAAAAACAAAGCCTATTTTAGGAGACGCAGATATCACAATGTAAAGCAATTGAAAAATACTTTATTTGACATTGCATCATGAATTGAAAGAATCACGAACTTGGGCAACAGTTATTCTTTTCTTCCCCTCTCTCTCTCTCTCTCTCTCTCTCTCCCTGCAGGTCTCTCTTCTTGTGCCATGCCACCAGAGTTTGGTTCCTTTATTCTTTTTTCATCACTAAGTTTCTCACTAAAATACCTGAAATTTAATAAATTAAGAACAAAAATCATTTAAACAAGGTAGAAAATTAACCGTGTTAAAGGGTGCGTACAAATGTGGCTTTTGATTATAAAAGATTGAAACCACTTGTATAAAATAAAAAATATTTCAATCTAAAGAGTGAAATAATAACATGATTGCTTTAAAATGATAGGTTTTTTACGCGATTAAGGATGCATGGATACCACGAATTTTAATGCGAATGTAAGACCCTATTAAGAATATATTATTATACAATACAATAATCATACAAAGCATACAATAATCAGCTGAAAGATTGGATAAGAAATTATTATTATTCATTCAAAATATTTCCCCGATTCTGATTGGCTAAAAGCACACGCATAATTCACCGTAACCAGTTACTGATGACCAAATTTGGAAGAATTTTGTGTTTAACGAGGAAATGACGTCAAAAATGCAGCCTTCTACAGGTTAATGCACCGTTAACCGAGAAGACCTGGGGACGAGATTGAGTTGTTTTCGTTGTAAAAACTAAAATGGCGGACGCTTCACTCGTTTCAAGAGTAAAAACCACAGCTGGAACTAGGTAAAATAATGGCCAACAACATAGCAAAAACAGCAAGAAGACAACTCGGAGGGCGACTTCAGCTATTTGGAGAACGGAGCTGGACAAACCTAACCGTAAACTATCGAAGTTAAACTTAACATCGATGCAGGTAAGCTTGTTTTAGCTGTGTTTTTAAACTAGGAATTATTTTGAATGAATAATAAAACAATTATTGAATTCGGCTTTCGTATCATATGAAGAATTATGGAGATCTCGGAGGGTGTTATCACCCTCCTCGATCTCCATAATTCTTCATAGGATACTTAGCCTCATTCATTAATTGTTAATTAGTATATACACACACTCAGTAATTTTGGTAATTCAAGCAGTCTGATTGGTTAGTTATCTCGGACTATGACGTTATATTCACCGCGCTAGGCGGTGAATATAAAGCAGAACAAAATCGCTGTCGTGAACTGGGTGTTTTGCCAAAGTTTCATAGTAAAGTCTTTTTGAAAATACACGAATATCCAAGTACTGATGACTTTGAAGGCAAGAAATACTTCATGGTGTTTAAACAGCGTGATTTATTGTGAAGTGGTTTACTGTAGCTGACTTTTTGTACGCTCGAAGCTATGTTTACCACTACAGAGGAAAACGAGGTCGCTTTGTCACTGTTTTGTGATTTCGGGATTTTCTCGCAAGACCAATTTTGCCTATAAATAGAAGTTAATTTATGGAGAAAAGAGGAAGGCAAATATTTTCGAAAATTGTACGTGCCAGCAAGTTAACAAGGCAAAGAACTTTGGAGATAAACAACGCTCACCTTGATCGTAGCCGCTGTTGACAGCATTTGCAAGAAGCGACAAAGAAAACTTTCTCATTCACGGTGAGTTGACAGAAACAAATAAAGCTCTACTTTTCTTCTCAGAATTGGGTAGTAATTTAAATTTTCGGCGTTTTCTTTTAAACCGTTGATGCTAGAGCTTATTTCTCAAAACTTCCACACCATCACGGAGCAGCTTTTGCAAAACACAGACGTTTAAACTTGAAAATTGTGATCAGGGATAAAATTGCTCTAAATGCCAATATTGGCTAGGCGTTCTCTCGCCCGCTCATTCCCAGACTTCGCGCGGACAACGGGTCAAGAGAGAACGACTAGGGACTAGGCTGCATGTATATCCTTTTTAAACGACTTTTCTCTTATTCTGCGTTTTAGAATATTCCGTATATTCCGTGTTTTTTTCTAGAATATTCTGTAATTTCCGTCTTTTAGTATATTCCGTCTATTTTGTATTTTATAATATTCCGTGTATTCCACCCAGTTCCGTTCTGTCATTCCGTCAGTCTGCCATTTTGCCGAATAGGGTCAGCCTTTTTCAAAGATGAACTCGAGGCAAGATAATCGCTCAAAGTTTTCTTTCTACAGCCAAATTTACAACTAAATATTTTTTGAAACTTTTTCTTTCTATTTGCGGTGAGAAAATATATCTAAAGGCTTTTTAAAGTTTTGTAAGGTTTTATCAAACCTGATCATATGTCAGACCATTGCCTCAAATCTTAAAAACGTGCATAAACTTGCCGCATAAACTACGATAGACTTCATGAAATTAGATATAAAAAAAACAAACATCAAATACAATAATTACTCATTCGAGATGCAGCTCCTGAAGGCTATCAGGTAAGGCCAGACGCGCTTGAGGCTTTTAAACCCTCTTACGCATCAAGCAAGGCCTGAGGTGAAAAACAAAAACGACGCCATCCGAAATCGGACTTCCGACTTTGACAAGCGACGTACTTCTCAACCAAAAACCCAATAAACAAACCAGCCATGAATAACAGAAGACTTTTGAAAGCAGCTGTATTTCATTTTGTACATCCAGACATCGCAAGCTGACACAAAACTCTGTCAGTTTCAGCTGTCAAAGTAAACAAGCTTCAAGATGCTGCATAAACTTTCCGCGTGAACTCATCTGTCAAATTTTGAGCAATCAGAGCATAAAAATTGGACGTAGAGCGTGACCTAGGTGTGACTATCGTAAGAAAAGATCTCCCCCCCGCCTGTATTTTTAAATAAATGGCTGAATTTTCGCGTCCGAGGTCATTTTGAAATCAAAATCTTAATAGTGTGGGGCCATTGTGACATAAACACAACATATTTCATATGAATTTTTAAAAGAATAAAGTTGAGCCTGGGATCATTTGAAAACTACTAACTTGTTAGCGGATAACTTTAAAAAAATAGTCGACCTTGATGGGTCCACACCTGAGCCCGCGATACGGTCAGGTGATACTGGTCAGCGGATACCCTTGTTTTGACAGCTGTCAATTGACCACAACATTGATATGTAATCAGTTTTCTCCTGGGCTCCCAAACTAGCTAGAAAGTGTGAGTAAACGTTGGCTACTCTGTGGTGCGGACGGACGGTCGGGCGGTCGGTCGGTGTATGGTCACGTGATTACCAAATTTTCTGGGATCGGTAGATTTACTTATCTTAGTTGTTGTAAAAAGCCAGATATTGATTAATCGATCTTACTCTTTCTAAAATGGACAACAGAAGGAAACAGGAAAACCACCCTGGTGGTGGCTTTTTCGCCTCAGCTGAAACTGTTAGTATAGGCCCGGTCGAAAGTTCAAAGGTATGGAGTAGCCCTACTTTCACGAAGATACTAAAAAAGGGTCAGTATTGCTTTTATACCGACATTTTCAGCAGACCATTTTTTAAACCAGAATCAGGATATATTGGTAATAAAATGTGAAAAACACACTGACCTCCGAAAATCGTAGGTAAGCTAGCAGAATATATAACTACGAATATTTTCGACGAATGGAACGTTAACGGTTACCCTGAACGTTTTATCCTCTCTGGAGCTTTAGAAGTTTCTAGGTAATATATTCTTCGAACAATTATCTTACAGAAAATGTCGTTGGGTGCCCCTGAAACGTAAACGTTTGCCTTGAAAAGCAGCCAAACGTTCGAAGGAAATAATGTGTCCAAGAAGATAAATCGAAATCTGAAAGATGTTAACCCGTTGATAAGTTATAATTGAGAAGGGTTCCCGAAGCTATGAGAAAGCACTTTGATGACCTTGAAGCTAATGGCGAGTGGAGAGATGTGCTGAATCGAATGGATGAAATCTGTTGTGACTGCAAGGAAAGCTAAGGGCAAACTCTGCCTTTTTCAAGACCCGAAGCCTTGAAGCTAAAGAGATGAGTGTTATTTTCCAATGCAAGTGCGGATCTTCTAACAGTATTGGGCAAAGCTAAACTTTTACGGATAAATTCGATCGCAAGGATGTCTACTGGCAGATAAAGCTTACTGAAGAGAGTTCTTTGCTCACAACGTTTGCCATAGCCCTTGGCAGATAATACGAATATCCTATGGGATCTCGCCTGCCAATCAGAGAGTGAGTTGTTCCAAGTACGAGGACATGAGGCAGTTGAAGGCCTGAAAGGAGTATATGTGATTGTCGGTCAGGGATTCTTGTGGCTGGTAATGAAGACAACATACAGCAGGATGAAATAGCAGGTCATAATCTCAAAATAAGGAAGCTGTTGAGAAGATTCAAATCTAGCAAAGCAGTTTTAAAACAAACAGAAAGTGGCCTTCATTGGACATTTAATAACTTCAGAGGCCGAGTGAAAGTAGACCCATCCAAATTTGAAAAAGTGAAATAGCTGTAGCGTCATAACAAAAGAATTGTCCCCCTGAGGTCAAAGGTCGTCTTAATGACAGGGCGCTTAGCGTGAGGTCATTATATTAACATGTGGCGTAACGTGTACTAGTTGGATGCGACTTGTGGGGCGTTAAGTCTACGAATAAGACACTAGAGACAAAATTATTGATTGTTACTTTATTCTACAAACTACTATCGATCGACTCACTTTAGAAAGCTGGTTTACTAACGTAGAGCAAACGCCACTGAATCGTAGTGATTAGTTCCCGGCACCATACAAACCGGCATACAAACGGCCTATTGACGGACTCAAGTTAACCTGACAAGGATAGAATGACTGAATAACCGACAATTTGACAAACAATGGACGGATAACGAAATGTCTATAGAGACCACTCTAGTATAGACAAAATATCCCTCGAATATAATTTCAAAAATCTTCACTCTCTTCAGCCCCTTTTATAGGCCATACTAGAAACGATTTCTCCAAGAATCCTTCTGAACAGCTTAAACTTATTACGCCAAACTGTCCTGAAATTACTCTGGTGGAACCTAACATTGCGTCGGTGAGAGATTTTTAAGGAATGTAGGAGTAAGATTAATATGAAATAGGAGTATAAAACGCTGAGCGAAGTTTTCATGCATGCTCTCAACATCTCCTCTCTTTATTCAACAAGTTACTCAAAATATCATGTTTCAGTTTAGACTGATCACAGTCCTCTGTTTTTCACTGTTTTTCCGTAAGATCATCAGGATCTAGCCTCCCACGCAGACGTTTTTAGGGAAGCTCGTATTTCGTCCCTTAAAAACGCCTACGTGGGAGGCTAGTCAGGATCGAACACTTACCAGTACGGGCGGCCATCTTGGTTTCATATGTACCTAGAGGGGGGTGGGGGGGGAGGCGTTTATGTCATATATCCAAGATGGCTGCGCATCCCGTAACGCAAAGTTTTCGATCTCGACCGGGGGGGGGTAACTCTATTGTTTTCCACCTAAGTTTCTTGACCCACTCCGCCACATAGTGACGGGTAAGAGCCTCGGGTCGCTTGTGCAAATTAGCAAGGGATACCACAGTTATTTGGACGAGCGAGGTCGAGGGAAAGCTAAGAAGCCAGCAAATATCGCTATATATCGCTTATTTGATCGAATGTGTGTGAGCTTTGGTGTTGCTATAATCTGCTTGTGTAAACCGTTTTGATATTTTGTGTCCGTGATTGTATAATTTTGTTAATTTGTTTTACGGGCCGTGTTGCGGGATCGCCATCTATTTCACGGGACCGGCGAGGTCATCAAAACTTAAATTTTTTTTTCTCCAAACTAGGCAAGGTCTAGTCCCCAGAATAGGAGGTTCCATTTACAGATCACGCATGTTTGTATTTCATCTATTCTTTTGCTAATTAAGTGGGCCTAACTTCATATCATTCCTTTCGAGTGTGGGCCTCTGTTAATCTCCTAATTCTCCTCCAAATTCAGTAAAGCTAGTTCGATCGATTATCTACATCGAGTCTGCCCGTTGAACCCGAAATAATGCGAAATAGCCATGAAATACGCGCTTAAGCTAATTTTCCTCAAATGTATATTTGAATTCATGATAAATACAGCTCCACCAGCTTCAAACAGCGTCTATGGCAGAGAAAAATTGTTTTGATATGACAAAATCATGTGTGTCACTGTGCTGCAGTGCTCAAGGAGTTGCTGGGTTCGAGTTCCCGGCGACTCCGTTTTCTGTTTTTTGTACCGTTGTTTTTTCCTGTTTGGTCTCTTTTTTAAACACTATTTTTCCTTTTGGCCTTTTTTCTTTATTCTTACTGCTGACCGTGCTGGTCATGCACTTGGATCAATATATATTTTAAGCTTAAGTCCGGAGTTTTATTTTGGAAAAGGGATTTCAAAAGCTCTTGATCTGCATACTGGCCAAGCTTACGACCAGATAAAAGCCATAAGCCCTGTCAAGACATGTCCCTCCTCTGAAACAGCTAAATTTTTTTCAATGTTAGTTGACATCATGACAAACAACACACAGTACACCACAAACTGTACTAATCTACACCCAACACCCACCAGTGACCCACTGGCGAAAGTTAAACTTGCCTTTTGTGCATCGTCTTAATAATCAATATTATTACCCTAAAATCTCCACTGGGTTTGCCCCCAAAAAATAATTAAACGAAACATTTTATTGGTTTTCGAGATTTAATTACAGAATTACAGGTGTTTGTTCAATACAGTTTTAAAATGCGGTAGAGCAACAAGTTTCAATGCTCACAGTCTCTCACAAATACCTGTCATTTAGCTTCCTCTTTCAACGCTTCAGCTAAGCAAACTTTTCAGCTCTTCAGAGCTGAAAATACGCACAATGTAAAGTATAATACATCCTTTGATGAACCTCCTATTGCTGTGTCTAAACTCCTCAATCTTGCTGTGCACTGGCCCTCAAAAGTGTGACCGGTCGGCATGATTGCCTGTAAAATTTGCTCGACGATAGAAAGGAATCTTTAAAATTCATTACTTCACTGGATATTTGATTCCAAAAAAGTACTTAAGTCTAGTTTTCTATGACAATAGAAACCTTGAAATCTCCAAATCCAAGAAATCGAAATTTCTATCTCTCTCCTCGATGAACACTTTGCTCGCCATTTTGAAAGTCACTGACGCGAGACCTGACGTCAGACTGGCAGGCGGACTGCTGTACCACAGATTTCCTCAGAGACACCTTCCCCCCCTGATCTCGACTAACTTACGGACAAATAGGAGAATGTGAACAGCATCAGTCTAGCATCAGTTGACTACCGAAGTATGTCAATGACCCAAACGAACAAATAAGTGTGAAACGCTACTTCTAACGGGTCAGATGATATCAAATACAAACTGTGAACACAGGCGGAGTTTTTGGAATCCTTAATTCCTCTCACTCACGAATTATGTTACAATGTACTGATAAGCTTTCTAAAGAAAAAGATTCTTATCGTCATTTATCGGCGTCATGTTGCGGGCCTAATTACAACTTCATCTCATTCTCTCGCCTTGTCTTGACCTATACCTGCAAACAAAATGGTGTGGAAAATTCATGTCTTCCATAAATCATGACATGATTAAGTTACCGTCAAAAGTTTTTACTGCCGACACCTTTTATCATTTCCTCTGGAGCGCAGTTTCAAGCAGTTGAAGAGTTGAGTGACTTGTCTTACCTTCGAAAAGAGGTAGGGCTGTGCTTTTTTTTATAAAACGTATCGTAATTTTAAGCGCAAAGGAATAATAGCTTTTCTGTTTTCAGTTTGTTTGTCAGCCGTTATTATTTTTATTTATATTTACTGAAATATGGTAATACTGGTAAAAAGATGCACTTCAGTTTTGAATCTTCGTTGTTTTGAAGCTCTATTAGGGTTCACCATCAGGATCGATCTCGCGGTAAAGATGTTAAATTGACACTTTCTATTAACTTGGACAAAATTCTGTTTGCTCTGTGTCACCATCTTTACCAATCATTTGCTGTCAGTTAACGCTATCTCAGTTAACCTGAATTTTCTATTTAAAAATTCAGATTAACTCGAGCTTGTTAAGCGGGCGGTTGTTGAAAGCCATAGCATAGAATAAAAACGCAGTCGCATAAAAGTCATCATTTTTGTCCTCGCCATGTTCCTAAACAGATGGGGAAAATTTCCAACTAAACTTTCTTATCAAAAGTACGTCAAAAGTGCCTGAACAGAGACGACATTGGCATTAAAATATTTTTGACAGGCTAAAATCGAAAGATGTGGAATAACTTTTGAACAAAAGATTAAGTTAGCTTACTTATGGAATAAGCCACAAGATACATTGACTTGTAAGGTATGTCATATTGTTTGCTATATTTTTAAAAAGCTAAAACTTTTCTTTGCATCAAATGAATTTTCAAAAAAATCGTCCAGTTTTGATATTGAAAACTATATTTAGACATTAAAACTGTTTCCTGTCGTTTGTTGCTGGGGGGGACAAGTTAAGGATGATATTATGGTTAGTGCTCCCTGATGAAATTTGCTTGTATTCATGTTCCTGATCTCTGAGGGAGTATTATGACTCTATTATGTGTATGAGTAAAAACACTAAGTTATGACTGTAGCATGGAACTGACATAACACATTTCCTTAACTCATATTATTTTATGTTTCAGTTTTGAATTAACGTTTTACTCAAAGAGTTTTTCTCGCTAAAAAAGTGAAAAACATTTCGGAAATGAAGTGGAATAGTTTCGTTTGTTTCACTGTCGATAAAGAAAACGGTAGAGAGCCGGCGAAACAACAGCGGAAAGGGAAAAACAGAACGAGACGTAAGCTTTTGTTGTGCTTTTTGTCGGAGCTAATTTGCCTTTCATAAGCTTAAGCTTATATTGAAACCGGCCGTTTCACTTAAATTCACTCATTTTCAATTGTGCATTGAGAACAAACAGTTGAGATTACTTATAGTTCTTGGATTACCTCATATCCTTACCGTCATTTATGTTTTTAACAAACGTTTTTACTAAAAAGCTGATACTTCGTTTTCGTTGTCATTTTGCGGTAAGTGTGTAGCGGCAAATTTTAGCATTTTTGAAAGATTTAAAATAAAAAGGCCGCCAAAATGATGAATGTCTCAGTATGTATATAATAAACACAATACCACATGGAAAGTGCTTTGTACGATATTTACGCACTCGTTGTTTTTGTATCAGAAATCTTACTTGTTCGCTGCGCTCACTCGTTCGATTTCTGATACATCAAAAACTCGTGCGTAAATACCGTACGCCAGCACTTTCCATGAAGTATTCTCTACATGTACACCCAAAAAATAGCAATAATCTTCGATCACATTCAAGAGCAATAATGGCTCTTCATCACAGTAGATTAGACCTGCAAGACAAATTCTTGGAAAACAAATCAGGCCGAATTTTTTGCGTTTCAGTGACAAGTTTACGTCACAAAATTTTGCCAACACATCTGGGATATGTGAACCAACCTTTTATACTTTTTATACATCACATCTGAGGTAAACAGTACTATAAGTTATTGTATTTATCATACAGACCTTGCGATCGGACAGAATGCAGTATTTCACAATTTTTCAAGACAAATTGCACTCAGCCAATATTCAGGACGATCAATCGCGTGCTTTCAGCGGGACCATTCAAAAATTTCTAAAATAACCTATATGGCCAGCCGGTTCTTACTTTTGAAAAGCGCCAAATTTGCAGTGCGAGCTGAGGTAGAGTGTTTGTATGAACATTAAATGGGCTCCTGGAATTTCAGGATTATGTTTTTTTTTTATTTAACGGTTTTATAACGATGTGTAATCTTAAAAAGGGTTTGATACGCGAGTCATTTTGAGTACTCCTGCAACCGATGTTCATGAACAACTGAAAACAAACGGAACGGCGATTAAAATTGCAAGAGAGACTACTAACAATCAATAAAGAATATAACTCGGTGAAACATTTACAGAGACAACAAGACAAGTATGAAAGTGTCTCTAAAAATCTTGAGTCTTTTAAGCTGAAAGCTTAAGTTTATGTTTTAAGCCGGCTTCCCGGTGATTGCTTTTTTTTAAAGATGTACTCGAGGTAAGAAAATCGCTCAAAGTTTTCTTACCACGGCCAACTTTGTAACTAAATCTTCTTCGGAACTTTTTATTTCTATTTGCGAAGAGATAATATATCCTAAGGGTTTTTAAAGTTTTGTAAGCTTATATCAAGCCTGATACTATATAGGTCAGATCATTGTCTCAAATCCTACAAACGTGCATAAACTTGCCGCATAAACTGTGCTCGATTTCGTGAAATTAGATATAAAAGAAAAACAAACATCAAATACAATATTACTCAGGCTTACCATTCGAGATCCAGCTCCTGAAAGCTATCAAGTAAGGCCAGAAGCGTTTGAGACTTTAAAACCCTCTTACGCATCAAGTAAGGTGAAAAACGAAAACGATGCTATCCGAAATTGGATTTCCTACTTTTATAAACGACGTGTTTCTCTACCAAAAACCCAATAAACAAACCAGCCATGAATAACAGAAGACTCTTGAAAGCAGCTGTATTTCATTTTATACATCCACTGGAAAAAGACAGTTAAAAATATCACAAGTTGACACAAAACTCTGTCAGCTTCAGCTGTCAAAGTAAACAAGTTTCACGATGCTGCATAAATTTTCCGCGTGAACTCACCTGTCAAATTTTGACCAATCAGAGGATAAAAGTTGGACGTGATCAAGACGTGACCATGGTAAGAAAAGGTCTTTCCCCCCCGCCCGTATTTTTAAATAACTGGCTGAATTTTTGCGTCCGAGGTCAGTTTAAAATCAAAATCTTAAAGGTGCGGGGCCATCAGGCCATAGTGACATAAACACATGCATTTCATATGAATTAAAAAAAAAACAAAGTTGAGCCTGCGATCATTTGCAAACTAGTAACTTGTCGGCGGATAACTTCAAAAAAATACTGGACCTCAATGGGTCGATACCTGAGCCCGCGATAATGCCAGGCGATACTGGTCAGTGAATACCCTGTTTTGACAGCTGTTAATTGACCACAGCATTGATGTGCAATCAGTTTTCTCCTCGATTTCCAAACTAGCTAGAAAGTGCGAGAGGCGGACGGACGGTCGTGCGTACGGTCACGTGATTACCAGATTTTCTCGGATGGGTAGATTACCACATTTTCTTAGCTATGGGGCTCCACTCACGCACGCGCACTTCGCGCGCGCGTGGATTCAAACTATATCGCGATTTCTAATTGGCTCAAATCCCCGGCTAATTCGTCGCAGTCAGCTGGCGATGACTAAATTTGGAGGATGCGAACACCTAGCCTGCGTAGCAAGCGTTTCCAATCGAGTTATTCGCGAAAGTTACTGAGAGCGGAAGCAAAGAAAAGGTTGAAGGGGGATGGGGAGGGGAGAAGAGGAAACGCTTGCCCGCAAACCCCACGATTCTGGAAAACGCCCCTTGATATTTCACGGTTCGGTTCATTTGTAAATTGACAGCTCGTCAAAATAGAAGTATAACGAACAGATTACCCCTGGATTACCAGATTTGTAAAATTACTTTGTTCTCTAATAGAACACGTTGCAGGCGATTGCAAGAACTGTAATAAAAAAGATTTACGATAAAAGAAAGTTAAAACTATGAGCGATTGCTTAGGAATTTCTTGTTTTTTATTGTGTGGCTTTATCTCGTCTGAAACCTTGTCGACACGTCAAAAATAATTTGTTCGGAACAATTCACTCCGCCGGGTATAAGTCTTGCAGAACGGCTGCTCTTCAGCCTGTGTCGAAACGTTCTCTACAATAGATGTTGCTAAATTTCCAATAAACAAAAAGAATCTTTTCATTTCAAAAAGCTGACAAATCGCTTGTCCATGGCGGCTTTAGCTGGTGTCGAGTACCGATGTTCTGATTTATGTTGATGTTATCTCCAACAAACAGTCCATTTTTTCCCGTCAGATCCACACGCCGTCATTCTCAATAAAGTAGCCTTCCCTAGTCTCCACTGCTCGATCTCCAATTATACTTCGAAGACTCTGATCTCATAAACCTTCGCACAAACACGATTCCAATAAAAATCAGTCCAAAGCATTTGTAATCTGCGACCACAAATCGGATGAGACCAGATCTCTGACGCACGAAAGCAAAGCATACCTGGTTTGATCGATGTTTTGAATGCTAAGTAATCAACACTACCCGCACCGCCCCAATCAGAAGCTGCGTTCGTGGGCGAACGCAGTTTTTCAAAATCGTGGGGTTTGCGGGCAAGCGGTTCCTTCGTTCCCCTCCCCCTCCCCCGTCATTCATTTTTTTTTTTGCTCTTGTCCCAGCTTTCTAGACGAACCTCGCGAGGAAACGCTTGCTACGCAGGCTAGCGAGCACCTATACCATCGATTCAATAGTATATTTGATTAGAACCAAGGTGGTTCGATGGTATATTGACCTAGAAACGAGGCTCTTTGGGCAATAGTGAACTAAAAAATGGTGTTCACGGCTATCCAAAGACGAAAAGCTGATTTCTGACCAAAAATGAATGAAAGAAACGTAAGACACACAAAACATATTGCTAGATGGATGTTATCTACTTTTTGAGGAATATCTGCAAGAAAACAACATCTAATATCCTGAAACCGTGCCGAGAAATAGGCCAAAGTTTTGAGGAAAGCCTCTACGAGGAGGTTAGCTTGTAATAAGAACATATAGAAACATTTTGAATGAATAATAAAATAATTATCGAATTTGGCTTCGTATAGAGTGAAGAATTATGCAGATATTGGAGGCTCAGTGTTATCCACCGAGGAGATAACGTCACTCCTCGATCTGCATAATTCTTCACACCATAATCTGCCTTGTTCTATAATTAATAAATATTAGTATCATCATCGTCATCATCAACTTCATCACCATCACCCACATCGCCAGCACCACCACAAACACCACTCCCATTTCCAACCGCCTTTTAGTCCTAGCTGAAGTCACTTCATCTTAAAATATCTTTCAGCTTGCACGCTTTACCAAAGATTTGAGATAATAGAGAACTTTAGACCTGAGGACGAGGACCACTACGAGTACGAGATTTTCTCAATACTAAGTAGAACACGCGCGTGAGCCAACGCCATTTTGGCGGGAAAACGTGATAGCCGTCGTATTTCTACAACGGGTTTTAGCGAGAATGTCGTAGTGGCAGGAATAAGTTATCAAATGTAAGAAGTTTTGTCATTTTGGTACCGGGAGAGGGCTTAACCTCCTTCAGTATAATTAACAATTATTCCACGAGGGCGCGTTGGATATGACATGATAGATAGCGAGTTGGCTATAATGATCTCATATCCAACAAGC